AGTTATATGGCTGTTTTTATTTGTCATTTCATTTGACGAGCAACGTTAGAGCTGGACCACACTCTTACAACTCCAGGCTAAAACGAAGTCAATACGTTATGAAAATTAAGCCAACTTCTGAGGATGTGTTTCATGTGAGATGAAAGATGGCATCTCATATCATTATCACTGAAAACGAATGTAACTAGAATCGAAATGTATCAGTTCGAGAGGTATTCTTCGTAGTATCTTGGTGACATCCCTTATGAATCTATTAATTGTACCCAACTACGCACAGACACATACAAGATAAGTAAAATGGTTTTCAACTTTGCTAAAGTATAATATAAACTTGTAATTTCTAAAGCAGTTCTTTTTCTCTGCATCCATGTGTCATGCTTCATTGGGTTTCCTCATTCCACCGTGTAACTTACTTGCGGTGGCAACTATAAGGGTAATAGTTTTAGGGGTGTATATAAGCTCATACTCGTTGTCATGGTTCTCAATGAATTTCCAAAGTAAACAGTTTTATTTCTTGTGCATGTATGTGCCAGTGTGTGTTAAGAATAGCTTAATAGGTCATTCCTAATCAAAGACAAATGCAGATTCTGCCCAGCTGTTAGGACATTCGGGTTGACACAATGCTGGCGATGAGCCAATTGTGTCTCCCATTTCATCTGGAAGACATCTGCAGAGTTAGACCTGATCCATACAATACAAAGCTAAAGCAAATCCATAAGTTATGAAAATTATGCTCTATTTTGATTGTGTTAAGTGCGATGACAGCTGAAATATTATCTCAGTGTCTCTGTCACCGAAAGGAAATAAGATTAAAATATAGCGGGATCCACCTTTACTTTCTTGATTATAAACACATACCTCCACCCACACCCACACCCACATACACACACACACACAATAGGTGAAATAATGCTCAAATGGGCGAAAATATAATACAATCTTGTCCTTTCTGTAGGAAAACTCTTCCACCGCATCCACTTGTCATGGCGATAAGCACATCATGTAAGTTTGGCCGAATGCCCTGTTGGACAGCGGGTACTTGTGGTAGCAACTAG